TCCAAGGGGATGGTGGGGGCGTCGGGGAGGGCTGGGGGATGGAAATGCCCGCATTGCGGGAAGCACCAGGAGCAGCCAGGCGATTCCTCCCTGCCTTTCTCACCCTGTCCGAGTCTTTGTTTCCCCCAAAAGCCAGGCAATTCCTGCTTCCCATCGCTGACCGTGGGGAAAACGGCCCCTTCCAGCTTCCCCTGCGAGCTCCTAGCAGGGCGTTTTGGCCAGCGTTGCTGATTGCCTAACCCTGCCCGCTCCCGGGGAGGCCGTAGGCACACTGGCTTTACCTACTTGGGATGCCCATTTATGACGCTTCTGCAATTATTCCTCCCCAAAACAGTCTGTGCTGGTGCAGGATGAGCCCCCAGCGACGTGCTCACAAGGACAGGTCTCGGCTGCATCCCCTCTCCCCTTCCCAAAGTTGCCGACCTGGAGTGTCAAAAAGCAGCCCTCCCGCGCCACCCTAACCCCGGCCCTGCTGATCCCGCATCACAAGGTGCAAATCACAAGATGATGGTTTTATTTATTTCTGGTCTCATGTGCTTCCCTTCCCATTTGGAGAGGGCTTTGATCATGTTCCCAAGCTTTTCCCAGCAGACAGAAAGGCTAGACTTTATTGCTAAAGGAGTGGGTGTTCGCACCGCCGCGTGTCTCGGGGCGATGGAGGGTAGAGCAGCACCGAAATACCGCAGCATCGCGGGGCTGCGGGGCTGCAGAGCACGCTGGTCCTGCTGCTCTGCTGCAACAAGGCACTGTAAGCTGGTCAAGCACTGTTGCTCTTAAATAGCTTTAAACCTGGCTTAAATCACTCCAGCCTTCACGCCTGGCCTTGGCACGCCAGAAGAACCAGGGAGCCAGGAGCCGGCTCCTTCCTAAAGGACCGTGTCCGTGAGCCTCTCCTGGGTGTCTTCGTTAAAACACAGCGACGGGGCTTAGGTTGGCGTGATTTCCCCTTGCTTAAATGCAGCTGGTGCCTGTCCAGCGGCTGGCAGGGGGTTACCAAAAC